CTTCCCCTTTTGGAACAGTTGGAAAAGCAAGCCCTGAGAGGAGGGGAGCAGGAATCATAACTTCAGGAGGTGAAGGATTTTTTTCTTTGCTTGACCAGACACGCTACCTTGGACTTCAGCAACTCCAGTAACGAATTCTGCCAAAGCAGATAACGTTCCTATAGAGAACAAATCAAATCAGCACTTTCTAGTTGAAATGCATTTGATGGAAATGTTTCCAACCAGCAGTAAGTTTTTTTTTTTAGACCAGTGATGCTGCTCATCGGGCATTTAACCTGCCTGCACTGACCATGGGGAGGAGTAGCTGCCTTTTACCAGCTACCAGGGAGCACTTACCTGCTACACTGCCACAAGGATTGCTCGGCCTCCTTCCCGGGGCTGGTCGGAGCTCTGCAGAAGGGATGGGAGGACCTGCCCAGGCACCGTCGTACCGACCCAGCTCTAATTTGTGAAGAGAAGGTGGAAGACAAAAATGACTTGACCAGCTGCAGGCTCATGCCTGTGCAGCTCTCAGCCAGGTGGTGAACTGGAATCTGACCATTAAGCTTTCAGAGGTGTTAATTATTTGCCATATACTTGAATGTATGAGCTTATTTATTTTTTACATGTGCATTTGCTAATGTCATTTTAATGGGGAATTTCCAACCCACAGGTACTTTTTTTTTCTAAAAAAAAAAAAAGAAAAAATTTAATCTGCCAAATGAATTAATATATTAGAAATGAATATAGCTCAACGGAAAGGGGGGGAGGTTGTGCTCAATAAATATTTGTGTCTAAGCTTCAGTGACAACAATTAATTTCCGTTATTTTTTGGCCAGCTTTTCTGACAGCAGAGCTAACACTGGCCCTCTGGGACGGGGCTGGGGGTGGTCTCTTGGGGGGAAAACTTCACTATGTACAAGGGTGTGTGCACCCACCTACACATCTCCTTCATATTAAGAGCACACAGAGCTCTCAGGCAACAGCCACTGTCCCCAGCACAGACACAAAGCCCAGAGTGTTCTGTGCCCAGAACTCATCAGGGCAGACAAACAGCCAAGACCAGACCTGCTTTTCTCAACTTGAGCCCTCTAAGAACAGAGCTGAGCCTCTAGCTCAGGCCGGTCTCGGTGCCTCTGTGGCGCCTGACCCAAAAGCCGCGCTTTGTTTCCCCCAGCGGCAGCTGCCAGAGAAAAAGGGCAGCGAGAGCTGCGCAGAGCCCGGGCATCAGCCCTCAGTGATGGATCCTGAGCCCTGTGAGGGTAAAGCCAGGTCACAGCTTGGTTCATTTGTGCTGGACAGATTTGTGAAGAGCCACCAGCTCGTTCTCATCAGGCATTCGCACACTTCTCAGTGCCTGGACGCTGTGCGAGACATGCATGACTTGGGGACAGAATCGTGACCCCCAGGTAGGAAAAGGAGAGAGGCTCAGCACCCCAGGAACAGGTGAACGCCCTGTGAGCGAGCGCAGGCCCGCAGAGCGTGGAAGAGCTCACCGGTGCTGACATCCACCAGACAGACGCGGGATCGCCAGGGCCTGCGCGGCCTTGACACGCTGTTTGGGTTTTATATCGTGGTGCTGCTGCTGCTGCAGCTGTAAAGCGCGAGTTACTGCAGCCCAGGGTGCTGCTCCCCAGTGCAGGTCTGGAGGTGAGGAGCAACTCCAAAAGAACAGCAGCAACACAAGCTGCTGCTCTCTCCTGCGCAGCTGAGCACATGCCCTGAGCAGCGCTTGCGAGCCAGGGGTGACGTCAGGCCTGTGGGGACTTCTGCATCGGTTACTGGCCAAGT